GCATAAGTACGGAAATTCGATTAGGCCATGGATTTTCGGAGTGGGGGGGGGGTTATTCCCCAGAACAATCCCCCCATATGAACTCAAATGTTTTACTTGCTTGAATAGCACGCCTGCAACGTGTTTGTGAAGTCCCGGAGACAACGCTAGGTCCAGGCGGTCGGTAAATTAGGCCTTTTTTATATGAATTCCTCAACCCAAGCACTGGACAAAATTGCCAAGTGCCTCTTCCTTCTACAGAGTATTATCCAAAGATAAGTTTATGTCGTATTGGTAAAACTACCGGTATTCAGTTAAGATATAAAGGTTCGTGGCAGTGATATATTAATACAGTGATTTATTTTCTGGACATTATCCATCGTCCACGTTTTTATTTAAGACGTTTCGGAGACTGGACTCTACCTCCGTCCTCAGGTAAAAAGAGCCTACTCCGTTGGGCCCAACGAACAGTGCTAGTTCTTCTGCCGTGCTGTGTTGCTCCCCGTGTCCGGAGATAAGGACTCGCGCTATGCATCCGGCCCAACAGAGTACGTGACGAAGAGGACAAAGTCCAGCCACCGAAACGTCGTTTTAATAAAAATCTGGACAATGGATAATCTACAGAAAAACAATCATTGTAATGTTTAATATTTCGGAACCCTAAAATGTATCGTTGGGTGTGTGTGTGTGTGTGGGGGGGTCTTTTTATGTTCTTTATGAAGATGGTTGTACTGACTGTTGCGTGTGGTATGATCACAAATCAATAGCCTCACCATAGCTCGCACCCCGGTCACACAAGTTGTCTAGAACATTGATCCGACAATGTAGTTAAGTTGTTTCTGTGACCCACATTTTTTAGGCCCTTGGCAGGCCGCCAGGTCGCCCAACGCCGCCAGTAATGATATGCATGACCGGAACTGACGTATCAATTTTGATGAAACGAATTGTTCATACGCTGGAATCTGGAACATTCAACGCAGCTTCGACTGTAAACCACGACCCAGCACCACCCACACCAGTAGTTCCCAAACGTCCCCCCCCCCGTTTTATTTTTTGATAGTGGTCTTCAGGGTTGTGATACAGTGTAGCCTTCAAGATGGATACCAATGTTTCGGAGGTACATTCTGCCTCCATCTTCTGGGGATCGACTCTGCAGCCATGTTTGTCCGAAACGCTGGTATCCACCACCAAGACTACACGGCGAGAGGGAAGGGTGACTCGCCTGATACGTCAGTGTTGGATATGGGTGTTATCCAGAGCCTGAGTTATGCTCACTAGCCTGGGTGTTCGGAAGAAAAGTCTTCCGTCACACTCCAGAAAACCTCCCTCTGAACACTTACCGCTGTGAAAATATTATTTTTTCTTTTCTTTTTTCAGACTGTTTTCCTCTTCTTCCTTTCCATTCTTCCTCCCTACGTTTCTTTCTCATTTCAGCCAAGATATTCAGCCTGTCAGCCAGAATCCAATCCAGGACCTCCAGAATATGAAGAGGTCCTAACAGCTACATGGTACATGGCAAAATGGTAAAGCTGACCCTGTACTTAATTAAGTACCACGCCGTGAAGACGTATGGGGGAGCAGAGATATAGCTTCATCTTTCTTAACCTCGGCACTAAGTAGAGGTCAGTGGTCGGCTTCACGCCTAGGCCGCTTTAAGGCCGGGGAAACAGCCCGAGTACACATTTGAAAGGAGGGTGGGTGGGCCCCAGAGACGGTCTGGACGTTGTGACGAAAATAAAAATCCCTACACTGCTGGGAATCGAACCCTGACCGTCCAGCCCATAGCCCGTTGCTCTGACAGCAACATGATAATTTTGAAAAAAAAGAGCCCTAAGGTCAGATATACTATTCTCAACCGGTGGTATGCGTACCCTTAGGGGCACGACAAAAGTCTGAGGGGTCACTGAACACAACTAAAATGTCTGAATTTATGTGTTAGCTAACAAACAGCTTTGTAAACTATTATCAGTGAAAAAAAAAAAGATCTATGAACAGAAGGTCGTTAGAGTGTGCAGCTGTTTGTAGAGAACAGCTCAAGCTATCTGTACATGAAACTGTGTTTAAGACTGGTAATCTGGTTCATCATCATCAGTAATCTGTCAGACGACAGGTCCACAGTCTCTTCCAAAACAATTGCTCCACTTAATGCGATCTAGAGCTTTCTCCTTCAAACGACAGCATCCTCTTCTGTCCCCAAGGTCATCCAGCATCTTCTTACGTCTTCTTGTCACTTCTATCCGCCCCTCTATCTTTCCTTCAATAGCTTCTTTTAGTAGGCAGTTTCTGCGTAAAATATGACCAATCCAATTAGCCTTCCGTTTTCTTATTTCGTGTAGGATATTCCTCTGCTCAGATTCTAATTAACACTTCTTCATTTCTCACATAATCGGTCCAACTGATCTTCTCCATCCTTCTCCAACACCACATTTCGAAACTTTCCAGATGTTTCCGAACTACTGCCCTAAGTGTCCATGTTTCAGCCCCATACAAAGCTATGCTCCAAATGTAGCATTTCACTAGTTTCTTCCTCAAATTTAAGTCCAATTTGCTGGTAAAAAGATTCTTCTTCTTGCTAAATGCAGCTTTTGCCATGGCAATCCTGGATTTAATTTCACAAGTACACCTTCCATCATCTGTTAACAAGCTACCCAAATATTTAAAACATTTCACATTCTCCACTTGTTTTTGGTCTATCTTTATTGTGACTGGGGTTGGTTGTCTCGAAATTTTCATTACTTTTGTTTTCTCCACATTCATTTCCATGCCATAGCACCTTCCAATTTCAATTAGTCTATCAATCATGCCCTGTAGCACAGTTTCTTCCTTAGCCATTAACACAAGGTCATCTGCATATTTCACAGTTTGAATAATTTGCCCTCCTACTTTGAAGTCACCGAGCCCATCCAGAGCTTCCTTGGTAAGGCATTCGCTGTACAAGTTGAACAGAATTGGTGATAAACAGCATCCTTGTCGAACTCCTCTTCCAATCTGCACACTTCTTGTCTCCCCTCTGTCCAGTCGTACTCTAACTTTCTGATCCATGTACAATTTGCTAATCAATCTTCTTTCACGCCAATCGATACCTGTTTCTTTTAGGATCTGCATTAATTTGGTCCAGTTTACCCGGTCAAATGCCTTCTGCCAGTCTATGAAGCAAACACACAGTTCTTCATCTATCTCCAAAGTTCGTTCCGCTATAATTCTCATCATCCCAATTGCATCCCTGGTTCCTTTTCCTCTTCTAAATCCAAACTGATCTTCTCCAAGTACATCCTCTATTTTCCTTTCAATTCTTCTTTTAAGTATCTTTGCTATTATCTTTGCTGTATGTGCAATAAGGCTTATTGTGCGATGGTCGCTGCATTTTGTAGCTTTTGTCTTTTTCTTTAAGGCAATCATTGCAACTTCTTCTTTAGTAATCTGGGTACTTCAAAAATATTTTTTAGATGGGCATTCTATAAAGGAAGGTTTAGAAACACTGCTCTATATCATGTGCAGCCGTTACACACAATCAGATCGGATGTAACGATTATCGCGATTGGTGAACAGGGAATGAACCGAAATGATGCGGTCGTGGCTTATTTCGAGATTATAACCAGCATTATCAGGGGTACTGACGAAAATGTATTTTTCAGTAGAGACTGGAACAAACAATACAGAAGTCAGGGGAGTTGCCTCTGGGATAATTTGCTGAACAGTTCAGCATTACCGTAAACCAACGTATTCGGCCCGTTGACCTCAAGTGCCGTATAAATTACGTGGCTGTTTCGTAATTAAATTCAAATTTGGCTGTTGTACATGCATAATTCACATGACAAATGCGACCTTGCACGCAATGAGTACTTTCTTCCGGGCAAGGAATTTCGAGAGATGCCTTCTACCTAGATTCAAGTGCCAAAGCAGTGTACAAGGGAAATGGGACTTCAACATAGCCTCTGCGAAAACATTTTATGTTCCCTTCGAATAGTGTCACTGTTACATTTTTATCACAGTTACATTAACTTGCACATACTCAAATCCGAATTTACGTTTAATTTATATAGACCTGGTTGTATAAACAAATTTTATGTTTGTTACTTTCTTCACACCAAGTGCCATATTCATCTCGCGCCTCATAGTCTGGCCACACCGAAGACACCATTTTATAAACCACTTTCTTCGCTCTGTGCAAAATTTACTGTCAGATTCTCTGAAAGGGTCTTTAATCGAATTTTTGGGGTGGTGGAGAGGGACAGATTTGAATCTGTTAATATCTCCAAGCAGTGGAATCGGTTTCAAATTTGGGGTGTCTGGCCAGAATTAACACACTACTATGTCTGGTACATTTTCGTTAGTTCACTGATCTCCCATATTATGAGTGCTGTTTGGTAAAATTTAAACACACAGATATTGTAGCTGGTATGTAATCAGACGCAACAGATAACTTGGGCAAATTAACACTGACGGCGTTTATTTTAATTACACTTTTTTTTTCAAATTTTAGCTTCTACCTCTCTAATCTACATCATTCACGATTAATATCGACAAACTTGCAGCACTGGTGCATCACTAGATCCTTACTTAACCTAATTTTCGTAATATTAGCAGTAAGCAAACGAATAAATAAAAGCCGATAATTAGAACTGGGCCGGATGTTTAGACAGAACTGTTAAAATATTTATACTTTTGCTGTACTGTATTTTACATTTTTAAAATAAAAATTATTTTGTTATTTCGTCACAATTGTTTCAAGATGTAGCGAATAAGTTGTAATGTCTGACTTTCGTTTTATAATCATGGTTCAAAGACGATTAAATTATAGGTTAGGAGGTTAGGTATAAGAATGATTTGAATAAGTTTTAATTCCAACAGGCTTTCAGCAACAACGAACCTATATCGGCAAACATGTGGTAATTTCGTACAACATTAAACTAACATATGCACAACACACGCAATTTTGTAACAGCAACACGATATTCTGTACGATATGACATTCAAGATCAATAATGTCTTCGTTTGGCTTTGAAACTAACTGGTCTTACCTTTCCATACGTTATCTTGAGGTCTCCATACCGTGTTAACAAACGTCATACAAACTACGTACTTTCCTCTAGCCCCAACGTGCTCGTTACAAAATGAGCTTGGTAACAGCCCACACACGGCCGGATGGCTGGCAGTGCTGGCGGTTGACCTTCCACAAGGAAAAACAGTACACAAACGCTGCGGAGCCGAACACTCAAAACAGTTGACTGCTGCAATCGCACAGCAGTTCCAATACATTGGAATGGTCGTAATGTGTGCAATAAATGAACGCATAATATGAAATTCTTTGTTGAAGAAGTCATAACATATGCGCAGTAAATGAACGCACAATATGGAAGTCCTCTCTTGACAACCTGTTCGCATGTTTAATCTCCAAACCTACCTAAAAATGGATTTCGATTAAAATTAAGTCGGAGGTTATCACTTGTAAAATAAATGTTATTTTTATTGTTATCAGCCCAGCGTGGCTCCTATTTTACGTAAAATTCAACCGATGACCTGAGAATAATTAATTGTATAATATACAAATTGAAAAGACCGAAGTTTATAATTTTCTTTCCGATTTCTGTATATCTATCTTTGGTTACAGTCTATTAAAAAACTGCAACATAATAACATAAATTATGGGATTATGCAGTGTGGTACCTGCAGTATGATTAGCTTTGCAACGGTTTATTTTTATCTGCAATAAACACACAAATTTGAAAGTAGGCATACTCAGCATTGCAATCAATAGCATCTACCCACCGGGATTCGTTAACACAGCGATAACCAACGAGTTTATTTGGTTTATCGAAAGAATTTCTGTCATGTTGGGTTTAATTACCACCAAAAGAGGTAATTTTTTTTATTAAAATTACACATTGGAACTCTATTCTCTTCTAAAGAACACACTGTCTGCCTGAAAATACCAGGGATAGTTATTTAGAGTTTTCATTCTTGAACAATGCGCATTATTAGTTATTAATTCCATAGGACGACAACTGAAGTTTCCAAAGAATTTATGAACAAAATGTGTGCTTTTTATGTTGCCTGTAGAAGAGGGACAGGGAAAGGACAAGGTAATCTTAATTTCGTGCCACCAATTGGAGTAATGTGAGTTTCCTGATGGATCAACAGTGACAGAATCATATTTTTCTTGTTCTGCAAGAAAACGCTGAATTTGGTTTCAGTGCCTTTTCAAACTTACTGTTTATTTCAGAAACCTGAAAGAGTTTCGCGAATATAAAGATTGGGAATTCCTGCAATAATTAAATACATTCTAGAGACGTACAACGCAAATCGAAAACAAATCTTGACAATGTGCGCAAACATCACAAATGGCTGCTCCATACCTCAAGCGGTTAGTCGCTGGCTTCCCACCGCGGCGGTCCGGGTTCGGTCAAGTGGGATTTGTGGTGTCCAAAGTTTTCTCCGGGTACTTCGGTTTCCCCTGCCAATCTTCATTCCACCAATTGCTCCACAATCACCCTCACCTATCATCTGGGGCTGGTACAATAGGCCAGAAGTGGCCGCAGTACAAGGAACTTAGTCCCACTCCACTAGCCGTGAATTCACAAGGGTCATTTAATGATCTCTACAACGAAACGTCAAGGCGTGTTAAGGAGGAAGGTCTGATTCACATCCTGAAGATATGACCATCAAGACGCACCGCAAACCCGATTTCTAAATGAGATTACTTTCGACTTTTCTCAACCTCTCCAAGCAAGCTTCGGGACAATGCTTAAACTTATCATTACCCTCTCTTCCTATATCATCAAATCGTATCTGATTCGACGGTGAATAGATTCAACAGTTGTTATAGGAATTTAAAGTAATTATACTGGGGTTATAACATCCTGCAGTCTGGTAGTTTGTAGGAACATGATGCTTCCATCTTCAGAGCAGCTAACAGTTATCCTGAAGATGGAGGCATCATGTTCCTCCGAAATCTTGGTGCCAACCTACCAGACTACACGGAACAATGTCTAGGTCGAGTGGATATCAATACTTATTCGTGTTCGGGAAGGCCTAGTTTCGAATTTCGACCCCGAGACCGGGTGCCCTGGTTGGGAATTTTCAAGGTCTTACTCAGCTTCTCCGTGTAAATACTAGGATAGTACGTCAATTCAGTCCACGGTCGTTTCCTTCCACATTCTTTCCTATTCATTACTCGTCGCTATATAAATTCTGCGATAAACAGAGCACAGCTAACTTCATAGGAGCCGGGATAGCTCAGTCGGTATAGCGACTGGCTGCGGGCTGGACGACCGAGAGATTGAAGTTCGAGTCCCGGTAGGGTCAATAATTTTCGCTTCTCAATATCGTCCAGACCCGCTCTGGGGTCCAATCAACCTCCTATCGAATGGGTACCGGGAATCTTTCCTCGGGGGTAAAGGGGCCGGGGCGTGAATCTCACCACTCACCTCCAGCTAGTACCGAGGTCAAGAAAATGTGGATCTATACAGCCACTCCCCCATACGCTTTCACGGCGTTGTACTTAATTAGTTAAGCACAGGGACAATTTTTTCTTCTTTTACAACTAACTTCATGGAGTTGAGCCCTTCTTGAGAAGCCGCCACTCAAGAACTTCCTAGTATTTTATGGAACCCCAAGGTTCATTATCGTGTTCACTAGAGTCTTCCACTGGTCCCTATCCTGAGACAGATCTATCCAGGTCCATACCACAACATCCTATCTCTCTAACATCCATTTTAATATTATCTACCCACCTACGTCTTGGTCTTCCTAGTGGTCTCTTTCCTTCTGGTTTTCTCACCAATATCCTATATGCATTCCTATTCTCCCCATTTATGACATATGCCCCGACCATCTAATCTTCCTTGACTTGATCATTCTAATTATACTTGGCAGTTTTCTGCTACCTACCGTTTCTTCCTCTCTCTTTGGTCAAATATTCTCCTCAGCGCCCTATTCTAAAGCACCCTGAATCTGTGGAGGTACGGTGCTTAGGCTGGGGCCACACGAGCGCACAAAATGCGTCCGTTGTCGTAAACAAGAAAGGCGAATGATACGCTTTCTTCTGGCTCCATTGCAGACAAAAAACTACGCACCGCCTTCTGCAACTGTGTGGTGTCCTCAACAATGTCCGTCATAAAGTACGTTCGTGTGGCCTCATCCTAAAAGCACGGGGACTACTGATAAGAACGATTCGCAAATCATGTTACGTCCATGATGAAGGCGTGTGACCGAATTATGCCACTGAATTTACATGAACGCCTGAACTAAGTGGTGATTCGAACAAGCTGTGAAACTACACTGAAGACTGAACTTATATTCACGTTTTGCGTAGTCAGAAACAAGTTACCATTGCAAAACATGCAGCCAAACCCGCATTCGACTTCATGACATGTTCTTTTAAGTACAAAAGCAACTTTGCATTTACTTTCAGCGTAGTCAAAATCAGACTGACGGTATGGAAACTTAGTGGAGTTGAAGAAAGGGCCGTGGTACGTCGTTTGAGAGAAAATGTTCGTTTTCTGCATCGAGGCAGAATCTGGCATCAGCTCATTTCATTTTCTTTCTTAACTGATTAGATAGTTCTAGGAGTATATTTCGGAAAGTAATGCTAAACACTATGGTAAACACTGACTACAAGATAATTCCCTTCCACAAAGTGAGAATTAATTAACAAAATTAAGGAGCTAAACTGCAGCCAGACTGTCGAGATACAGTCACGAGAAAAGAAGTTAGGACATGTATTCTAAGTTTCCACAACAATGAGTATACAGAGTATTGTCTTCTAAAATGTAAAGCCATTTTGTCAGAAGTCCACAGCTTCCGAGGAACGTTCTGCCTTCGTGTCTAGAGACGTAGAGTAAGCCAGGTAAAAAGGAAAATCGAGCCCTACTTATTGTCTGCTTCCTTCAGTCTTCGATCCTGAAGATGCAGGCAGCACGTTCCTCCGAAACGATGGAATTCCGTAGGGCTACACGGCCCTAAAGCACTCAGAAGACGGTACTCTTCAGCACGGAGCAGCCTAGGTACTATAGCACTCGCTCTCTTCTGTTCAGCTGTTTCAAAAACCATAACACAGAAATAGTACACATGGCACAAAATATGCTACATATTTCTTTATAACGTTTGTTCGAAACATTTTTCGTTCAGTATTTAGTTAATTATGTTCGAGATGTGCGCAGAAAAACGTGTAGATCCTCATAAATGGGTGGGAAAGCCAGGCATGTGCCCCCTCCCCCAACCATTTACGAAAGAACGTCAAAATTCTGTATTTTACAGGCGTCTTAATTGCAAGACTGTACACAAATTTACTGGCTACCCTACCTTTTTGGGGGGGGGGAAACCTGGTAGTGTCCATGCTATATATTTGGACCGAAGAGGGATGAAATGACAGGTCTGAGAAAACTGCACAATGAGGAGCTTCATAACTTGCACTCTTCTCCAAGTATAATTGGAATGATGAAATCAAGGAGGATGAGATGGGCAGGACATGTAGCACGAATGGGGGAGAAGAGGAATGCATATAGGATATTGGTGGGAAAGCCAGAAGGAAACAGACCACTTGGAAGACCAAGGCGTTGGTAGGTGGACAATATTAAAATGGATCTTAGAGAGATAGGATGGGATGGTATGGATTGGATTGAGCTGGCTCAGGTTAGGGACCAGTGGAGGTGTCTTGTGAACATGGCAACGAGCCTTTGTGTGCCATAAAATGTTGGCAAATTGGGTAGCTGCAGAATTGGCAGCTCCTCAAGAAGGGCTCAGCTCCATGAGTAAGTGTCCGTGATACACATTTGCAGCCGAAAGTGTTAAAAAATTCACGTCAATCTGAAGTCTCTTCATACAATGTATGCTGCAGTTTAAGACTGTGCCTACCTCAACTCTCTGAATATAAAACACATCTGTTACCTCTTTGAGCGATATGAGAGAATGGCAAAATAAACATGAGGTACAGAAACAAACCTGGCACAATGTAGCTCTGTACTGAGTATTGTCTGATGTCTGGATACCAGCTGCTGCATGGTTACATGCACACTGGAAGCCAACAGCACAGCCTGCTTACATCAGGAGCAGCTGGCAACTGGGAGGTGACAATGAGGCAGGAGCATGTGGTGGACTGAGGATAGGAAACTGTGAGTCTGCAAAGGAATAAGAAACATGTCACAATAAACTTTCACACTCATTTATTATTTTTATTTTTTAAAGATTTTTTCCCAAATTTAA